GCCAAGAAGCGTTGCTGGAATGCTCCGGCCAGCATTGGAACAATGGACCAGGTTGAAATTGACACACGGGGCATTTGCTGAGGGGGCATGTCATTCACCGGAGACATCATTGTCGAGCACGCCAACACCTACTATGATATGGAGCAAACCCCAAGTATCACTTAAAAAAATAATGAAACCCCTCTGGAGTCGAGCCATCGCATGGGCGAAGGGCAATGAAGCCAGAAGACCAAATCGTGCGCACCACCTGAGGCCACACCTTTAGGGGCCTGAGATGGGAATGATTTAGGAAGGTCAGCCCTCACCAGATCAAGCCGCACTAGATCCACCTCACTACTGCCTACACAAGACACAACACGAGCCAACGCCGACGCCGCTGATAAGTAAGACACGAAAGGCAACATTCCAATGGCCGGCAAAATCCCTGTCACTAGCCGATGGTGACCAATACAGGGTCAGATCCTTCGCCACCGTCATGTTTCCCACGCAGCCCTAGCTGGACGACCATCACTAAGAGTCCATGTGGTCGGCGCCCCGACATCCAAGCTCTGCCGAAGCACACACCATCTAAGGCCTTCGCTTCACTAACGCTCTTCCAACTTTGACCACCAGTATGAGCACAAGGACATGGATGGGTACTCTCTTCATCGCTTTCTTCTCCGGGACAACGATCTATTTTCAAGATCTTTGTTACCGACTTCTTTTAGCTCCAACTGATGACTTTCTGGTCGATGCATCAACAACATTTCTTTGGCTCCAATGGTGATTCGGAGGTCCAAAGGTGGCATCAAGCTTCGGTCATGGCCCTCCCCCAGCCAGTGCGGGAGGTGGATGGTGTCGGTGATGCAACAATAATACCATCGCTTCCCCGCAAAAATAATTAAATAATATCATCGATGTATATATCTGTGTTGCAAAATTACTTAGTGTTATATTTTTTAAAACTATTTCTGTAGGTAAAAACTATAGTCAAAGTCATCCAAGGCAGACTGTGAACAACCGAATACGCCTTTTTTGTTGGGGAACAACCGAATACGCCTTGAATCTATGGACAAATGGAGTATTCTTCTTCTACCCGGGGTGGCTGCACATATCATGTAGAGGTGGAACCTACGTTCATGCACCGGAAAGATTCGAGTAGTGAAAGATACATGATACATCTCTATGAGTGACAAGTACTGTCTGGGTCCCAAAATAAGTAACTCAAGTTTATACTAACTTTGTATTAAAACTAGTAAAAAGTTGAGTCACTTATTTTAGAACGGAAGGATTAAATATAGATAGGAGGGAGTAGTACAGTACGTGCTGGTCCACAACAAACAATAATTAAGCTAGCAGCAACCGAAACTGGATTAGACAGCACCGGCCAGCATCAGAGCCAGAAAAGGTGAATTGAAATGAGCAGCAGCGAGTAGGTGGCCTGCAAGCGCACGCTCCAATCCACGATCGTCTTATATGTCAGTAGTAACTATACGTACGTAGTTTCTTCCATGAGTTAAACTGGCACGTACAGATCCGGCTGGTCAGGCTCAGGTCCAGATCTCCGCGCAGTGCTACAGTCAAGGAGGCACATGGCATTAAGCTCCGGCAGGGCCAACTGCCGGCCGCCCGGCCCCCAGATCAAAACCGGTCCCTGCCCCGTCTTCTGCACTTCCGATGAACGACACCGCCGTTACCGTGCCTGCGACCGGCAGGCAGCAGCCATGCGTCTGCATGAACTGCATCCGGCTGGGCTACAGACGAATTGATTAGTTATAAGCCTATGCATGGACTGTATGCTCACGTGGTCAGAGTACACATTATTGATTGTATTTTCCTGAATTTATTCCATATCTTTTGATGATGTGTGTTCACACTAGTAGAAAAATGGTCAAACGTGAAGTACATTAGTGCCGGTTTATATTTGAGCCGCCACTAATGTATACATTAGTGCCGGTTCCAACGGCTAGCCGGGCCGCTTTCATTAGTACCGGTTCGTGGCGAACCTTTAGCACTAATGAGAGTGATGGCAGGATGTTGTCAGACTGGGGCCCCTCCAGCCCCTTTAGTACCGGTTCTTGGCACGAACCGGTACTAAAGGTCGTCCTACATAAACCCTTCGTCCACCCAAGCTCGCTCTGTTCTTCCCCTTTCCCCTCTCCTCTCTGTTCTTCCCCTCTTCCTCTCGAGCTCATCACATATTTTACCCAAAATTTGTCAAGATTTGAAGGCCCCATCCATTCAAATGATCACAAAGGTTAGCAACTTTGTCCTTTCATCTCTCATTGCTAGATTAGCTTTTGCAATGCTTTATATAGTGATTAATTTGTGAGTTTAGTAATTTGGGAGGATATATATATATATATATATATATATATATATATATATATATATATATATATATATATATATATATATATATATATATATATATATATGCTAGTATTTGATTTATATGCAATTGAGGTCAAAAATAACACGTAGTTTGCATATGTAGGTGTGGTTTACTTAGTGCCTTCTAAATCTCCGTCATAACCACCGTCGATCGCTCGCACCGTCCCGTCACCGGCACCACCTTGTGGTGAGCCTCTTGTTCATGAAATTTTATATAAAAATTGATGTTTGTGTGATTTGGATATATAGTTACTCGTATAATTATCTTACCCGTACGTTGTTTGTTATACATATAGTGCCATGGTTTTGATATCCGTCCCCGTCGGCCCTCGTCCTTGTTATGATTCGGATGTGGTATATATATTCTCTTTTAAAACTAGTTGCATTTCGTGTTTATGACAAATTATGCCCATCAAGTTGACATAGAAATTTTTTCTAGGAGGTATGTGAACCGGAAATTCCAACCGACCCTATTGTCGAGAGGTTAAATTTAGTTGAAAGAGAAAACAAGTACTTGAAAGAAAAATTGAAAAGAATTGAGGGGGAGAAGATGGAATTGGAGTTGCATGTTGCCGATGTCGTCGATGATCACAAGATCAAGATGGAGAAAATGCGCTTGAAGATTAGAAAGATTAGAAAATATGCCATCGATAGTGAGGCTTGGTATCATTATGCTGTTGGATCCATTATTACCTTAGTTGCGATCTTGATCGTATTTGTTGTTGCATTTAAATTCTTTAGCTAGAGAGTTATTTGTTTGTTGCATTTAAGTGTTGTATGAACTTTATGTATGAACTTGTATTAATTTGGTCTATTCGATGTTGTGTAATGAAGATGAGCCGGCAATGGATGTACGATGACCGATGCTCTCCCCAGTTTGTTGAGGGCGTGCATACTTTTCTGCTTGCGGCTGAGGCAAACAAGCGGGCGGATGGTTTTATGCCTTGTCCATGTGCTTGCTGTAAGAATGGTCAAAATTACTCTACGTCAAGAACCATTCACATCCACCTGTTTAAGTCTGGTTTCATGCCCCACTATAATGTTTGGACCAAGCACGGAGAAAGAGGGTTTATGATGGAAGGCAATGAAGAAGAAGAGGACGACGACAGCTATCCTGGCCATGGGTTCCCTGAATACGATGATACAACAATGGGGGAAGAAGCTGAGCCGGTAATGCGGGAAGAAGCTGAG